GATCAATTTAGAAAGTACGAAATCTATTCGTGAACTACGGTTTACGAGCTAAATCGACGACTTTAAAGCATTATCTTCTTAGCCGGAATCTTTAGACCGCGTATTCGATAAGGCTATAAAAGCCTTAAGTGACTTGCTCGAAGACGAAGACGATCTTAATAGCTTTAGACTTTACTTTAGCCTCGCTGACCTTCCGTCGGCTAAGTTCATACTTATCAACGACGCTACTAATAAGCGCAAGAACGATACGCGCTCTTTCACTTTTAAAGATGCTGCTGCTAGCACGTCATCGTTCAATACTGGCCTTGCTAAGAGAAGAAGACCCTCTTAGCTTAAAGAGAACGAAAGAGTTAAGGACGTGAGCACGGAAAGAGACTATAAAGAAGCTGCCGAAGCGTAGTTTAGTAGTTTAGATGTTTAGAGTTTAGAGACAAGATACTCCTTTCCTTTTATACACTAGATTTTTTTCTTTTTGCTACACCTCTTTTTTTTCTTTTTGCTTGATAGTAAGCGAGGGCGCTTACCTATTTTATAAAAGGACGGATGTAAACACTCTGCTTGATGGGGTACTTGCTATGGCTACTAAGGCTATACTAGACGGACCTATCTTCTATAAAAGGGCACACATCTCTTAGCTAGAACAATCAACGAGCTTTCTACCTACTTTTTCTAACACCTTTTTTATAAGACTATAAGGTCTAGCCTCAGAGCCAGGCTTCTATACGGCACATCTTTTTGGGTGCTTCTACAGTATCCGAAGACGCCGTTGATTTTAAGGTTTCTATTAATTTTATACTTAAATGTTTAGCGAAAGCGTTTAATAAGTAAAAAAAGTTTTATAAAAGCGATATCGGTTGATATAAGCTTACGGTTTATCTAAGATATTAATTTAGCGTAGTTTTTAAAAAAAGTGTTTTTCGTAAAGCGAAAGAGTAACGGTTTTATAAGAAGATAAATAAAAAAAAAAAGTTTAACGATCTTAAAAGAAAAAGCGGAAAGAAGACGATTCCGAAGAAAAAAAAGTGATTTTACGATTATCGTTGTTGCTTGATCTACCCGTGAATTATAATTCATAAGTGAATTAGCGTCGTAAGCTCTTTAAAAGCGGTTTAAAGCTCGATCACGCTTATTAGCGTTATATTAATAACGAGCGTTTACTTTACGCTGATTAAAGTGTATAATCTTAATAAGTTTAGCGTAAGTAACGGTCGAAAGGTTAAAACGAAGCTAATAAAGCTTGCGGCGAGCGTAATTAAAAAGAATCTAATGCTTAATTAGCTATGCTCGTCCGAAGATCACGCTATGATTTCTAAAGTTAATAATAAGAAAAAGAATAAAAGATTAAACGCGCTTATCAACCGTAAAGTTGAGAAGTGTAAAATATAAAATAATAGCTCTACGAGCTTTATTATATAATTTGACAAAGAATAAAGTCGAAAAGAGTTAAATCAAAAATTTTAAAAAAAAAGAAAGTGATTTAAGTAGCGTTAAATCAATTAATGCGTACTTATTAGCTTTTAAGTCGAGCAAAGCAAATACCTTATACGAAAGGCTATTCTTAATAAAAGTAACAAGTATAATTATAGCTTTATTACTAAAGAGCTTCGTAAGGTCGAGGTATCGCATATCTCGGAGCTAGCTTAAAAAAGAAGCTTTGCTTAAGCTTCGACGTTTCTTTTATTATCGAGAGCGTCGGAATCAATAAAAAAGAGCTCTTAATGATCTTCAAAAGCATCGGAGTAAAGCTTATCGTCCGAGTCATCCGAATAAAAGCCGTATTCAAGTCTAGCGCCGTATTCTATCTCGTTAATTAAATAATAGCGGAAAAGCTTCGGCGTATTCGAGTCTTTACGAAACGATTTAAAAGTCTTAATCGTTAACTTAAAAGCGTTTCCGAAAGAAAAGAATCTATTAAATCGATTAGATCGATTTGTACTAGCGTTAAAGCTATTAAAGGTTTAGCGCTAAAAAGTAAAGAAAGAGACGGAGGTTAAGCTATTTTAACGGTTCTCGTAATAAGTAATTTGCTTAACCGTTGTTCTTTAAGCCGAGCGGGATTCGTTACGAGCTTTATTATAAAAGCTCTTCGCGAATTAAGTATTATACTTAGCTTATAAAGCATCGTAAAGTCTTGCAAACGCGTATTAGCCAGCAGCTAATTGCTAAACGGCGGTCTAAAAGTCTTTAAAAGTTATAGTCTTAACAAATTCTAAATAAAGCTAGTCGCGCAGCGTTTTAATAATTTTAAAACGTAAAGCTTTACGTAATCGATCTTCGTTTTTAATTTCGGCGGTAGCAACAAGCTCCGAGAAAACAAAATAGAAGTCTTAGAATTGCTAATTAAGCTTTATATAAAGTTTTTCGAACTTAATTAACGCTTTAGCCTTTTTAACGAAGTCGTTTAAGAATTCGAAAGCGATTTAAACGAGTTCCGAAACGGTTACGAAGTTGCTACGATTTATAACTAAAAAAGCTAAGAATAAGTAAGCTATCTTTTCGGTTTAATTAAAGACGTAGTTCTTACGCTAGCGTTTTATAAAAAAGTATTCTTCGAAAGCTTTTAAGTTGTCAAAGACGCGGGCTTGCTAATAGCGTGCGCGATAGCTTATACCGTTTAAAAGCTTTTGTTTAAGATTAAAGATCCGCTCGATACAAGCTCGACCTTAAAAAGCTAAAGAAAAAGCTTTAAAAGTATTAAACTTAATTAAAGTGCGAAAGTTAGTTAGCTTATAAAAAGAAAGTAGTTTATCGTCGTCGGCGAAGAAGCGGCGAAAGTTAGCGGTTTTATAAGTAAAAAGAATAATTTAAGAGACCGAAAGCTTATATAGCTCTTTGCTTTTAAAGTTATCTTCGAAAGAGACTTAAGAAAGCTTTAACGAGCGTTCCGTAGTTAGCAAGACCGCTTAAAGCTAGTCTAGTTCTTTTCGAGCTCGACGAGCTTCTTTTTCAGCCTTTTTAACGAAGGTTTTTTATTCGCTAGCGCTTTTATTAAGCTTTTCGTTTCGGGTTTTCATGTCTACGAAGAGCTTCTTAAGCTTAATAGCCTTTCGTTAAGATTAAAAGAAAGCTTAATACTAAGCTAAAGCTTCTTCGAAGTTAGTAAAAGCCGAAGGATCATCTTCATCGTTTTGCTTACTAATAGCTTCTTCTTGAGTAAAAGGAACTATTAATTAGGCCGTAGAAAAGGAAAGAGCTGCTAGTGCAGCTTTAAGAAGTGTGCGAGAGATTTTGCCCGCGAGGCGAAGGTTGTTGTATTGCGTAAGTGCTATCCTTCAAGTTATACTTAGAATAAGCCTTTTCGTGACCGTTAGAGTCGTCTAAGTGTTTTTTTTTGACGTCTAACCACTAAAGAATTCTAAAGAAAAAGAATATTATTAAAGCCGTTCCCGGCGGAGTAAAGTAGTTATTAATAATATAACGACCTTAAGCGATTACTTAAAAGAACTTACGGGAGCGCGAAGGTTCACATAAGAGCTTAAGAGAATCTTAAAGTAATGACTTAAAATCAACAACTACCGAGTATAAAGGTCGAAGGTAGCTAAGGTTTATATATACGAAAGTAAGAGCGCTAAGGACTCGTGAACTATAGTTTATAAGTCAAAAGTAAAGAATAAGAGAATACGAAGAATACGAAGGAAAAAAGGAGGGAAGTAGCTTGGCGCATATAAGGTGCGTCCAGGAGACCTGGCGTGTCGTCACAGACTCGGCTTCGCTATCTTATAGAACCTTAAATGCCGCTTAAACTCCGAAACTTAGTATTTCGAAACTTAAAACTCTTTTAGTCGTTATTTAAAGTTAAAGTAAGTTAATTATTATATATAAGTTTAACGACTTTAAATCTAATACTTTTATAAGCGAACGAATTATAAATTTATTATCAACTTTAAAGCGCAAACGAATAGAAGAAAAAGAAGATGATGAAGCGGGATTGGTATAAGATAAAAAGAAAGAAGCTTTTTTTAGAATCAAGCGTTTAATTGCAAAGAGTATCGCTTTTGCTAGGTTTTATAATTAGCGACTTTGATTTTATTTATTAAATTGCTTTTTTTGTATTATTAAGTTTTTGTATTTATTTGTTTGTAATTGATTGCAATAATTAATTGAATTCTTTTTTATCGATATCTTTAGTTTTTTTATTATTATTAATATATTTATATCGACTTTAGCTAGCTAGCTAAGAATACCGGTAGTAGTAGTTAAAAGAAGAGTTCACTCGTGAACCATGGTTTACGGGTCAGTTAGCATGCTTCGCTTAAAATGTTATATTAATCAAAGGACTTTTAACTTGATTATAAAACCTTTTAATTAGCTAGTGTACGTAATTCCTTTAATTATAAGTATTACTTTTACTAAACTTTAAAAGAGCTGATTCTTTTTATAATTATTAAGTTTTTTAGTAAAGTTAAGTTATTCGTAAAGCTATATAGCCCGTGAACTATAATTTACGAGTAAGTTACGTGTAGTAGCTTTACGTACGCTACGTATAGCAGCCTTACGTGGGTTACGTGAAGCAGCCTTAAGTACGTTAGGTGTGGCAGCCTTACGTAGGTTACGTGTGGCAGCCTTAGGTACGTTAAGTG